ATGATGGCACAAAGTAAGTCACACAATGTTGCTCAGTTGGGGTACAGGGGTTGAGAGAGGGAAACTTTTCTAAATCTGAACCTGTGCTGTGACACTTAAGTTTAATTATCAAGAGATGCAGGCATTAAAAAGCAAGTTGTAAAACTACAAACTAAAATACTACTTTGGCATTCACACATTGAGCTTAATTTGCAAAACTTCTGGTCCTTACAAGCCCCGTAAGTTTTAGAACACTGCTTCTCACTCTAAACAGCATAGGAAGTCTCACATGAAAGGCAAGATAGCTCTTTCAATAAAATATGCAAATCATTAACAAACACATTTTACTTGCAGGATACAACCTTTTTGCTAATTCAACCTATTCTTGATTTGTACTTTCAAAACAACATTTTAATAGAAGTGGTAGTTTACCAGTGTTCATACCAATTTTTTGAATGATAAAAACAGTTCTGTAAAAAGTATTTTTAACATGCCTGCTATCTTAAAAGGCTTAAAGATAACTTCAGTTACTAAGATTTTGTAACAACCTGCAGACTTTAAAATCTCTCCACTTTCACTAACAGCAAATCAATACATCATACGTGTAAAAGAAAATAAAAAAATAATCTCAGTACCTGCTAACAAATATATGAAACCTTTACAAGTTTTTTTGTTTTGTTTTGTTTTTTAGTAATTTTGTTATGTTATGCCTTAAAGGTAACAATAGTTTAGTTTTTGAAAGTGATTATAATAGCGTTTTTTGTTATATTAAAGTCATAAGAAGAATTTTGGATCCTGAAAGAGTTTAGATTAACTTCTGCAGGTAAGATTTTTGTAAGTAAGAACAGGAACACAAAATTATGCAAAAACTGATGCAATTAAGAACACTCAGCTTACATCATTCGAAACTGTACTGCAATTAGCATTTTATTCTTTTGAATGCTACATTATTAAAAAACTTTTTTTTTCCACCTTAATAGATATTCTACAAATGCTGAAGTAATCTTTTGTATAGAGATGCCTTAAATTTCATTCTCAGCAATAAATCAACTACTATCTGTATGCTGAAAATATTTAAAACAAAGCACCCGTTCCAAAAGAACAGACCAACAAAACTTGCTTTTGAGGGATTCACAAATACACACTGGTATTTGAGACAGATGAATAATGAAGATAAACTTTCTTAAGATCTCTCCAGAAGTCTGAACTTGGTTTTATTTCACATTTCAGTCATCTGGTTCTCACTCAATTTTGTTAGACTTTTTCATGGAAACAGTAAAATAATTAAGCCTTTGCTTACATTAATCTATTAAGAACAATGGCAGAATTCTACAATTACTTACGCTACTGAGTCCAACAAAGAGGCACAACAAAGTTCATAACAGCATGGACGTAATATTAAGATTGTTCCTAAATCATACTGAGATCATACCTTGAAATATGCTAAAGCCTTCAATCTGAAACTGACTTCTGTATTTCCGTTGCTTTCCAACAAAACATTAACCCAGCTAAGTGTATTAAATTTGAATTAAAGACATGAACTCCTAACAGCGATGCAAATCTTGGCACCAGGAAAAATTTTCCTTACAGTTAAGGAAGGAGAGAGAGGGGAAGAAAAGAGATAGCTATATTATTTTTCCTCCAAAGTTTCACAGATGACCAAAAAAACTCCCAAAAGGCATTCAGCTGTGACAGTTAAGCAAATTTTCCTTCAGATATAAACAGCTCAGATACATAAACACTTGGCTTTGGAACTAAAGCCCGTATTTTAAAAAATATTTAGACAATAGCATTTGTAACACACTGTTTGTAAATTGGAAATGTTTTTTTAAAAAAATAAATTGTGATTTCAAACGTTATCTCTATGTAGTTTTGTTAGGCTGTTGAGGGGAGAGGGGCTTGGAAAAAAAAAAACTTTCATTTTCATGAATAGACTTACTCAACAATTAACCGAAAAGTAGTTCAGTGCTCAAAAAAAAAAATACTATTACTAAAATTACTATTTCCTTAGTAATACAGTCTCCTTAAAACAGATCTGTGATCTACTTTACAAATGGAGAAACTGAGTCAGAAAAGTTAAAGTGACTCACTCAAATCATACAGGAAATCTTTGGAACATCTCCTAATTCCCAAAAGTGCATAAAATTTGCAACCTATAAGGCAAGTCATAATTTTTTAGTATGTATCCATTTTTTCCTTTGAGATTTTTTCTTTTTGGTGAACATACAAACTTGTTTCTTTTCAGCTTGATCTTGAATTATAAATCTGACTGAGAGTATGAAGGCAGACATTAACAGCAGCCATGTAGCCCTCTAAATTGTAATGTCAAAAAAAATAAAAAATAAAAAAATAAAATCATTCACCAGAACAGGAGCTTTAAATCCTTAGAGGTAGAAGGGAAAGGCAAATGTTTTCTAAAAAGGCCCTTATTTTTTCCTTTAGAAACCCATTTATCTTATTTTTAATAAATATACAGTAATACATGGCTTATTCAAAAACGAAAACCCTGTAATATAAGGAAGGTATGATGGCAGCATGCATTACTGGACCATTAATACATCACTTGGTGGTTGAAATCACTCAGCCTTTGGCCTCAAAACACACGAAAGGCATGCATTAACAACACTTTGAAAGTCTTATTATCTTGTTCTTCAACTTCAGGTATATCTTAAACCACACGTCAATATTTTCAAATACATGAAAGGCATCTAAAGTTCTTCAGAAATTGAAGATAGATTTGCCCTTTCAGTACATCACTTTTGATTGTTTAAATCCAGAAGGTTCTAAAGGCATACTAGAACAGAAATGTATACCTCATTAAACCAAGGACAAGATTAAAAACAGGCATTTTTATTAAAGAAAAAAAACACTACAGAGAAAAAGAAATATTTCTTTCCTTTTTTTGGTTTAAACTTACAGTTTACAGTGTCTGCAGCTTGTATAGAGCACACTACACCAACTATCAAATAATAAATCCTTGTGACCTCCCTACCCCCACCCAAACATATTTATAGTGGTGATATTAAAAGGCTCATATTTCATTTAGGAAAAGAATTAGATATGAGGAACTGCACTTTTAGTATTTGTGTTACGACAGATACAATTTACACTGTGATATACAACTAAAATTCAAAAAGCCTAATACCAAGATTACACTGTGGCAGAAAGAAAAGAAAAATCTTCATCTTAATAAATAAAGGAATAGGCTATAACCTTGCCTGAATTATTTCCTTTAGTGTTCAGTTCTTTTAGTATTCCCCAGCTATGAATACACATAATTACTACCCGATATCCAGCAAAGGTATTTCCTAGAAGATGAACATGACATTCACCAGTGTGATGCGACTCCACAAAGAATTTAGCCATTTCAATTATATTAATCCTCTCCTTATTTTGAAGAATATTACTGCTTTTATATTAAAAACAGGATAGGCGTACCTGTACGTGAACATATGTGCCACAAACGCAAGGTTTTTCAGATTATTAAACTGACATAGATATCACCTTACAGAAACCTATACACACCCCTCACAGAAGCTGCTCGAGTCTGGTGCCTTTCTACCCCCCTTTTCCCCGGCAAGAGTGGTCTCGTTCACTTGCCTTTCACACACATAACCAATAAAATTAATCAGCTGGAACACGGCATTTTTAAATCACAGTAAAGCCAAGAGATGTTTTGTACGTTATTTGAAGGAAACAGCCTTTTCATCTAAACCTAATAAGACCGTAATATGCTGCAGACAAACGCACTGCATGGGGTGTGGAGGACCCGAGCTGATTAGATTACCACAACATCAGCCCGAGGCCGCCATTTTTAGAATCTCTAAAGGACAAAAGAGGGAAATTAAAAAATTTGTTCCACATTTTTTAAAAGTAACTTTAGAAGTATGGTGTTTATAACAAAATAATCGCATATTTTAAGTACAGGCAAAGACATATGTTTGTTTTCCCTGATCTGACCCTTGAATAACAGAAACGTTTTGTCATTAATTGCTCTAAAATAATGTAAATAAACAGGCTAAAACATTCTTAAATCCAGAGGAAGCACTAAAGTTCAGCCTTTCATAACATGGGGTATATTTCATTTTGGAGACCTCGGGGCTTTTAGCTACCGCATATTCCCTAATGGCCGAGTATGGGGGAATACAGGACCTTTATAATCAGCCTATATTATGTTTCTCTACCCTATTTAGAACTACACAGTGAACCGTTTGTTTCTCCTCCCCTATGTCTGCAGCAATAGGATCTGCACAGCCAATATCTTTTTTTTTTTTAAAAAAAAAAAAGAAAAGGATGAAGCTATGCCACCCCAGAGCACAAACACTGGCTACAGAAACTAAATCAAGAAAGGGATGCGTCAATATAACTACTTACAACCTCCAGACAGGGGGGTGGGGAGATGATCCCCTTTAAAATTGGCACGGAGACACTTTCGGACTGTCTGCCGTTTGCCCAGGTTACACCACGAAGCAGAGATATGAGCAGACAGGGGGGAAAGGAGGCGGGGGTGGGGAAAGCAGGGAGATTAGGCCTATAATGAGCCATTTTAGTATCACAAAGCAAAAATATACAGGATGGGGGGAGAGAATAGAATTCCCTAAGCTTCATAAAACTCTCAGTTTTATTTATACACAGTCCCAATAACCCACAAACCCGTTCCCGAAACACCCCCCTCCGAGGAAGGGTACATTGTCACATAATAGCTTCTCCGATCTCTTTTTCCGAGCATAATTCATAAATCTGGCATAACTGCCAAAAAATTCTCCTCAGCTCCTGTGGTTACAGTAACCCGCCATATTCACAAGATATAGCGACACCCTGCCATTTTTAACCAAACCCTTCAAAATGAGAAGGAAATTCAAGGCAACTCAAACACATTTCAAACACATTTCAGAGGGCAGGGAATCATGCTCCCAAAGACGATAACGAAGCTTTGCCCATCACATTTCAATCTCTTTTCTTGCCGCCCCCTTCCCCAGAGCCCCCACAGCAGAATACACGAGCAATAACCCCAGACTCACCTGTAATGGTCACAGGCCAGGCAGCAGGACCCCTCAGCTGAGCCCCTTCTCTACCCCAACCAAAACAATGCAACAACCCCACTGCGGATATCCCTACCCTGGGCAACACTCAGCCCTCAGCAGACCTGGATAGAAGAAAGGAAAGGGGAAAGAAAGAGGAGGCCCCCCCCTCCCCCCAGAGCTAGCTCAATGCGCAGAGCCCTTCAGGGACCAGCTAGGAAGCGCCTCTGCCTTGGGACCTGCGTACAAACCCCGCTGCCACCGCTGCTCCCGTGTCTCCCTCCTTTCAGCCTCCTACGCTCCCTTCTATGTCACTGCCTCTCTCTGGGAAAATGGCGTCCGCTCTCCCCTCCCTCCCCCTGCACGGGGCTCACCCGCCCCGCCTGGCAGGGGCAGGGTTACCAAGGCGAAGCCAAACAGCCGCCATTTTGCTTGTGGGCTGGAGCGCCGTCCGCGCCCGCCGAGCCCTCAGTGTCCATTTTGCAAAAATCTCCTGGCTCATGGA